CTACTACGGTCCAGCACAACTGCAATCCAGCACAACTACGGTCCAGCATAACTACAATCCAGTACAACTACGGTCCAGCATAACTACAATCCAGCACAACTACTGTCCAGCACAACTACAATCCAGCACAACTACTGTCCACCACAACTGCAATCCACCACAACTACGGTCCAACACAACTATGATCCACCACAGCTACGGTCCACCACAGCTACGATCCATCACAACTACGGTCCAACACAAGTACCGTCCACCACAACCACTGTCCACCACAACTACGGTCCACCACAACTACAGTCCGCTACAACTATGATCCAGCACAACTACGGTCCACCACAACTACGGTCCAACACTACTGCGGTCCAGCACAACTACGGTCCACCACAATTACGGTCCACACTACATTCCCAAAACAAGTGAGGTTGTGGGAACAAAGGCTGTGAACCTCAAACAAGGGATGGAGACTTTTGGGTGATATTAACATATATGATGTCAGCGGAGCAGCGCATCAGGCGAGTAACTGCGGCATCGTATGCGCACCTGACGAACTAAGAATAATAGCAGACCTTTAGCAGCATATATACGAGTCTTATTAGAGTCCAGAGCACCATCGTAGAGCCCTCACCACGAAGTAAATATCCAAAACTCGAGGAACACCAAATATTATTTACAAAATTAGTCCCGGATTTAAGAGGAATAGTCTATAAATGAAGTCTGAAGGAAATGAACCTTGCAGTGCTAGAGAGACACAATCACAACGTGTAAGTTACTCAAACTTGATAAAGCAGACAGAGACAGTTTTAAAAGTAGAGAGTGGGTGGAACTGTGTGAGAACAGGAAGAGAAAAATTCCGAACGTGGTTTTAACATCGTCACGGTTCCTGGCGGTGCCGGGAACAGTGATTCGAACCCCCGATACCATAACTGGGTGAATACAATAAATTTCGGTTAGACTGAACACGCAGAGTGTAATATGGATAATGGAATTCTAAGAAAATTGTTAATTGGGTGATGCTGGGGAAGGGTTCTTGTTCCAGGGTACTGAAACCCACCCTTTTCGTGGATCAAACCCAAATACGTACTGCTCCCCAAGTGCTGCATAACTCCCGACGGGTTTAGCGACTCCCCTTGAATATAATAATAACATTAATAATAATAATAATAATAATAATAATAATAAACGATGATAATAATAATAATATATAATAATAATAATAATAATAATAATAATATATAATAATAATAATATTATTATTAATAAATAATAATAATAATAATAATAATAATAATAATATAATAATAATAATAATAATAATAATAATAATAATACAATAATAATAAAATAATTGAATAAAGAAAAAAACTATAGGTGATATATATAATTATATACCATATAAAGTGTATAATAACTGAGGTATTAAGGCCAAAGTCATAATATACATAGTGCCGGTCAAAAATATATATAACACAATGAATATAATGAATTAAAACTAATAATAACACCTGATATAAAATATAATAACCTAACTTTCCAAGACACAACTTGGAAATATAACCTGTGTGGGGTATGGGTCTACATGAGAGATATTTAACACTGTATGGGTTATTCACACTGAGATATATAACCTGTGTGGGTATGTGCACTGAGAGATATAACCTGTGGGGGTATGTGCACTGAGAATATAACCTGTGTGGGTATGTGCACTGAGAATATAACCTGTGTGGGTATGTGCACTGAGAGATATAACTGTGTGGGTATGTGCACTGAGAGATATAACCTGTGTGTGTATGTGCACTGAGAATGTAACCTGTGTGTGTATGTGCACTGAGATGATTAACCTGTGTGGGTATGTGCACTGAGAATATAACCTGTGTGGTATGTGCACTGAGATATGTAACCTGTGTGGGTATGTGCACTGAGAATATAACCTGTGTGGTATGTGCACTGAGATATATAACCTGTGTGGGTATGTGCACTGAGAGATATAACCTGTGTGTGTATGTGCACTGAGAAATATAACCTGTGTGGGTATGTGCACTGAGAAATATAACCTGTGTGGGTATGTGCACTGAGAAATATAACCTGAGTGTGTATGTGCACTGAGAAATATAACCTGTGTGGGTATGTGCACTGAGAGATATAACCTGTGTGGGTATGTGCACTGAGAAATATAACCTGAGTGTGTATGTGCACTGAGAGATATAACCTGTGTGGGTATGTGCACTGAGAGATATAACCTGTGTGGGTATGTGCACTGAGAAATATAACCTGTGTGTGTATGTGCACTGAGAAATATAACCTGTGTGTGTATGTGCACTGAGAGATATAACCTGTGTGGGTATGTGCACTGAGAGATATAACCTGTGTGGGTATGTGCACTGAGAGATATAACCTGTGTGTGTATGTGCACTGAGAATATAACTGTTGGGTATGTGCACTGAGATATTAACCTGTGTGTGTATGTGCACTGAGAAATATAACCTGTGTGGGTATGTGCACTGAGAGATATAACCTGTGTGGGTATGTGCACTGAGAGATATAACCTGTGTGGGTATGTGCACTGAGAGATATAACCTGTGTGGGTATGTGCACTGAGAAATATAACCTGTGTGTGTATGTGCACTGAGAAATATAACCTGTGTGTGTATGTGCACTGAGAAATATAACCTGTGTGTGTATGTGCACTGAGAAATATAACCTGTGTGGGTATGTGCACTGAGAGATATAACCTGTGTGGGTATGTGCACTGAGAAATATAACCTGTGTGGGTATGTGCACTGAGAGATATAACCTGTGTGGGTATGTGCACTGAGAGTTATAACCTGTGTGTGTACATACAGAGAGATACACAGCGCTCAATGTATACACACAGTGTATCACATTAACCTTGTGTGTCTTGGAACCTGTGGGTGAGTGCACTCAGATAATGTATTGAACCTTATTACCTGTCCACTGAGTACTTTTTTGGCCACTGGACCGATGTTTATGGTCAAGGACCGAAGTTTTACCTGGTTGTGCACTCAGTCCATACCCTGTGTTGTGTTTGCCGGTTAAGTAGGCACGAAGAAACCTTTGTGTTTCCCACCTGGCTGCCATGTCAACTCCAGAGACCTTTTAACCTGGTCGGCCAGTCAACCGAGATTACCTTTGGTATTGCCGAGAAAACCTGTGTTCGCATGTGCACTAAACCCAAACCTTTTTATGTGCCTAAGAATACTTTTCGCTCGGTCTCGCCATGTATACCCAGGACACTTACTTGTTTCCTCGCCTGGCTCGCAGTCAACCAGACATTTTTTTTCCCGCCTGGCTCGGCCAGTTTGCCAGGACCATTTTCCCCTGGTTTACCAACTCTTCTCCCTTGCCTGGCTTGCCAGTCAACCCAGACCTTTTTTCCCCCTGGCTCGCCAGTCAACCCAGACCTTTTTCCCCCTGGCTCGCCAGTCAACCCAGACCTTTTTCCCCCTGGCTCGCCAGTCAACCCAGACCTTTTTCCCCCTGGCTCGCCAGTCAACCCAGACCTTTTTCCCCCTAGCTTGCCGGTCAACCCAGACCTTTTTCCCCCTGGCTTGCCGGTCAACCCAGACCTTTTTCCCCCTAGCTTGCCGGTCAACCCAGACCTTTTTCCCCCTGGCTCGCCAGTCAACCCAGACCTTTTTCCCCCTGGCTCGCCAGTCAACCCAGACCTTTTTCCCCCTGGCTTGCCAGTCAACCCAGACCTTTTTCCCCCTGGCTCGCCAGTCAACCCAGACCATTTTCCCCCTGGCTTGCCAGTCAACCAAGACCTTTTTCCCCCTGGCTCGCCAGTCAACCCAGACCTTTTTCCCCCTGGCTCGCCAGTCAACCCAGACCTTTTTCCCCCTGGCTTGCCAGTCAAACCAGACCTTTTCTTGCAGCAACCCTTCTCGCCAGTCAACCCAGACCTTTTTCCCCCTGGCTTGCCAGTCAACCCAGACCTTTTCCCCCTGGCTTGCCGGTCAACCCAGTGAAACCTGCAATATCACAGCATATTAAGTGATGGCGATATTTAAGAAGACGAACACAGTGTTATTACTGCATCTTACAGCTGAACTTAACTAGTAAGATATTACAAAGACCCCAATGGAAGTAAGTTACTTTGTCTGACCTTTTTTGGGGTTATCTTAGATAATTTACACATATGTTACTATGTAATGATAGCTGTACATATGTAGACTTGTACCTAATTGAACTTACATAATCCACATGTTATCGTAAGAGTCATAATAATTTATGACCGGGTAATCACACACACACACACACACACACACACACACACACACACACACACATGTTGAGCCCTACAAGAAGAGAGCCTGGATGCCAGTGATGTGCTCTAGATCCAGGGAAGCGGAGCTGCCCTCCACTTTCTTGGATCAGACGTCACTGTTTCCCCATTCCCCATATTCGTTATATGAACCCATACGAGTTTACACCGCTTCCCCCATCCTTATAATAATAATAATAATAATAATAATAATAATAATAATAATAATAATAATAATAATAATAATAATAATAGTTTGTATCTGTGTGTTAAACTCCTTTTTACGATATTCTGGGTCTTGTTGACAATACTTTGGTATATGTGGATGAGGATAAAGCTGTTATTTATACAACATATGTTGGAACAACATATGCGGGAACAACAGTTATTGAAACATGTGTAATTTTTGGCTAAGGGTTAATATCTGAGCCTTAAAATATAACTTGAAAACGCTTATATGTAGATAATGACACACACACATACACACACACACACACACACACACACACACACACACACACACACACACCACACACACACACACACACACACACACACACACACACTCACACACACACCACACACACACACACACACACACACACCACACACACACACACACACACATATCACACATATATATATATATATAATATATATATATATATATATATAATATATATATATATATATATATCCAGTAAGTAATTATATTTACCTGATCAGAAGTATAGAGAAATTTTTGCCAGCGGAGTCGATTCAGAGGCGAGTCATGATGCTCAAGCAGATTGTTGTGTTTAGCAGGCGGCAGTATAACGTTAGGTTACTCGGCTCAATACAACACCCACACTCAGGGAATATTAATCTCAAAACAATATGCATTTCATCACTTCAATTATGTTCCAAATTCCTAGGAATGTTTTTCGAATTCCTTCTTTGTCTCCTGCCTTTTTTAAGCTGTCTTATAAATCAATGCACTGACTATTTTCCTAGACAATCGAAATGGGTGATATTAATTGCCCGTTGAAGATCGCAAAGGAGATAAATCTTACATCTGATCAAGTAATTCGCGGCCTTTATACGGGATGCTGCTGCTGATTTCCACATCTGATTAAGTAATTCGCGGCCTTTATACGGGATGCTGCTGCTAATTTCCACTGCACATGATGCCTCTGGTGTGTAAGGATTTATCTTAGAGCAAATTCTCACTTACGAGATGTATTGTGGAGGCTGGTTAAAGATCGTCAGTGACACTGATCTGTATAGGTATATATGATTGTGTTTTAAACTATGTAAGAAGGCAGGTTAAGTGAGAAGGATGATGGAGGTGTTTTGATGGGGTGTTGGTACACAGGTGGTGGGGGACAGCTGGTGAGGTGTACGGGAGGACACAGATGGACGTTCGGAGTGCACAGCTGGTGGTGCTGGTGAGAGTGGTGTGTACCTCTCTCTGCGATAGTCTGAAGCATACTGCCAGCTGTCTCCTACCACCACCCCCACCACCACAACAACGGCCAGCCACCACCCCACCTCCACCACCACCACCAACGCCAGCCACCACCACCACTGCCAGCCACCACCACCACTGCCAGCCACCACCACCAACGCCAGCCACCACCACCACTGCCAGCCACCACCACCAACGCCAGCCACCACCACCAACGCCAGCCACCACCACCACGGCCAGCCACCACTGCCACCTCCACTACTGCGAGCCACCACCACCACCACAACTATCAGCCACCACCACTACCATCCACCACCACAACTATCAGCCACCACCACTACCATCCACCCCACCACTGCCACCCACCACTATCACCACCACCATCACTACCACCACCACATCTATCACCACCACCATTACATCACTACCACCACTATCACCACTATCACCACCACCATCACCACCACTGCCACCTACCATCACTGCCACCCACCACCACCATCACCACCACCACCACCACAACTATCAGCCACCACCACTACCATCCACCACCACCACTGCCACCACCACTGTCACCACCACCATCACTGCCACCACCATCACCATCACTACCACCACTATAAACCACTATAAACCACCACCACCACCACCCCACCACTACCACCACACACACACACCTCACCACCAACTAAACCACCACCACCACCATCACCACCACCACCATCACCACCACCATCCACCACCACCACCAACCATCACCACCACCATCACCATCACCACCACCACCATCACCACCACCCATCACCATCACCACCACCACCACACCACCACCACCACCACCTCACATCCACCACCATCACCACCATCATCCACCACCACCACCACCATCACCACCACCACCACCACATCACCACCACCACCACCACCCACCACTCCACACTAACCACCACTACCACCACCACCACCACCATCACCACACACCACCATCACCACCATCACCACACCACCATCACCACCACCACACCACCACCACCACCACCACCATCACCACCAACCACCATCCAACCACCATCACCACCATCAACCACACCACAACCACCATTCACCACCACCACCATCAACCCACCACCACCACCACCACCACCACCACACCCACCACCACCACACCACCACCACCACCACCATCACCACCACCCATCACCACCATCACCACCACCACCATCACCCCACCACCTACCACCACCACCAACACCACCCACCACCACCACACATCACCACCACCACCATCACCACCACACCACCACCATCACCACCACCACCATCACCACCACCACCACCACCACCACCACCACCACCATCACCACCACCACCATCACCACCACCACCATCACCACCACCACCATCACCACCACCACCATCATACCACTCACCACCACCACCACCACCACCACCACCACCACCACCACCACCACACCACACCACCACCATCACCACCACACACCACCACCACCACCACCACCATCACCACCACACCACACCACCATCACCACCATCACCACCACCATCACCACCACCACCACCCACCCACCCATCACCACCACCAACCATCATCCACCACCACCACCACCACCACCACCACCACCACCACCATTCAAGTCTACTAACAACCTAACTGATCAAGTCTTGCCTTATCAAGCTACAATGTTCTATAAGCATAATGACTCAATAAAAAATAATAATTATCTACAGTGGACCACACTATACTCCACTTATAGTCCACTTATAGTCCACTTATAGTCCACTTATAGTCCACTGATACTCCACTTATACTCCACTTATAGTCCACTTATACTCCACTTATAGTCCACTTATAGTGCACTTATAGTCCACTTATAGTCCACTTATACTCCACTTATAGTCCACTTATAGTCCACTTATAGTCCACTTATAGTCCACTTATAGTCCACTTATAGTCCACTTATAGTCCACTTATAGTCCACTTATACTCCACTTATAGTCCACTTATAGTGCACTTATAGTCCACTTATAGTCCACTTATACTCCACTTATACTCCACTTATAGTCCACTTATAGTCCACTTATAGTCCACTTATAGTCCACTTATAGTCCACTTATACTCCACTTATAGTCCACTTATAGTCCACTTATAGTCCACTTATAGTCCACTTATAATCCACTTATAGTCCACTTATAGTCCACTTATAGTACACTTATACTCCACTTATACTCCACTTATAATCCACTTATAGTCCACTTATAGTCCACTTATAGTCCACTTATAGTCCACTTATACTCCACTTATAGTCCACTTATAGTCCACTTGTAGTCCACTTATAGTACACTTATAGTCCACTTATAGTCCACTTATAGTCCACTTATAGTCCACTTATAGTCCACTTATACTCCACTTATAGTCCACTTATAGTCCACTTATAGTACACTTATAGTCCACTTATAGTCCACTTATAGTCCACTTATAGTCCACTTATAGTCCACTTATAGTCCACTTATAGTCCACTTATAGTACACTTATAGTATACTTATAGTCCACTTATAGTCCACTTATAGTCCACTTATAGTCCACTTATAGCCCACTTATAGTCCACTTATAGTCCACTTATAGTCCACTTATAGTCCACTTATAGTCCACTTATAGTCCACTTATAATCCACTTATAGTCCACTTATAGTCCACTTATAGTCCACTAAAGTCCACTTTCAGTCCACTTATAGTCCACTTATAGTTCACTTTTAGTCCACTTATAGTCCACTATAGTGCACTTATAGTCCACTATGGTCCACTTATAGTCCTCTTATAGTCCACTATAGTGCACTTATAGTCCACTTTTAGTCCACTTATAGTCCACATATAGTCCGCTATAGTGCACTTATAGTCCACTATTGTGCACTTATAGTCCACTTTTAGTCCGCTTATAGTCCACTTATAGTCCACTATAGTGCACTTATAGTCCACTATAGTGCACTTATAGTCCACTTTTAGTCCACTTATAGTCCACTATAGTGCACTTATAGTCCACTTTTAGTCCACTTATAGTCCACTTATAGTCCACTATAGTGCACTTATAGTCCACTATTGTGCACTTATAGTCCGCTTATAGTCCACTATAGTGCACTTATAGTCCACTTTTAGTCCACTTATAGTCCACTCTAGTGAACTTATAGTCCACTTTTAGTCCACTTATAGTCCACTATAATCCACTTATAGTCCACTATAGTCCACTTATAGTCCACTAAAGTCCACTTATAGTCCGCTAAAGTCCACTTACAGACCACTTATAGTCCACAATAGTCCACTTAATTTCACATGACTTTTTGTACGGAGTATGTATCACTTTTTAATAGAAGTCTCGCGTCAGGCGACAGTTGAGTTTTTTGTCTAATTTTTCACGTGAAGTTTGTGCCGATTAATGGTTGTCAGTTATTTGAATTTGATTATTTTGGTTATGAGACTGATAACTGTGATATATGATGTAATGATATCAATACAGCTCAGAGCAGAGATCATTGATGAAGCAGCGGGGGAGATCCTTGCTCTTTTTTAATACAAAGTTTAAATCCACGTTTTCTATACTTTTTTAGACATAACTAAAACAAGTTAAACACTTTCCCCTTGATCAAACCTTTTAGAAAGGGGAAATTATTCGGGACCTCAAATTGAGCTTAGTAATTAAACTGTTTAATTGCCCGGGGTTTAAAGGGGGGAAAAATGATAGACAAGTCACCCCGGGATTTAAAAATTTTTGGGGGATTTAAAAAAGGTTCGAAAGGGGGTTTTTCTAAAACATTCGGGGGGATTTTGTTAATATTTTGAATTTAACCCGCGTAAGGGAAAGGGTTTGCTGGGGTAAGTGATGTGAAATAATTTCATAAAGCTAATTAAACTGTTAACGGGCTGCTTCTTTCGTAGAAAAAAAAGTGGTTAAATTTTATACATATATAATAAATCTAAAAATTTTATATATATATATAAATATATATATATATAAATTATATATAATATATAAAATATATATAAATATATTATTATATATATATATAATTTAAAATATATAAATATATGAAATTTTATATAAAAAATATATTATATATAAATATAAATAAATATATAATATAAATATATAATAAATAAATATATAAAATATATATATATAAATATATTATTAAAATTTTTTAATATTTTTCACACGGCCGTTCCCCCCAAAGGAGGGGGCCCAAAAAAAAGAAAAACTTTCAAAAAAACTTTCACTCCATCACTTTTTTGCCAGAAGGGTGCTTTAAAAACAAACAGTTTTTTAAACTGCAAAAATTAACACCCCCCCTTCAAGGGGCGGGCACTGTACTTTTCCCATCCCAGGACCCCAAGCCGGCCTGCCGGTTTTCCCCCTTAATCCCTTCAAAAATGTTACTTTGCCACACCCAACCACGTAAAGTTTAAAAAAACCATTTGTTCCCTTTTCACTCCTATAAAACACGCTCCCCCGCATGCCTGCTGGAATCCAAGCCCCTCGCACACAAAACCCCCTTTTAAACCCATCCCCCAACCATTTCCCGGGGGGGGGGGGGGGGGGGGGGGGCCGGACCCCACCCCCCCTTTCCCTTTCCACTACAGACTTATACACTCTTGAAGCACTCTTTTTTCGCTCCATTCTCTCTACATGTCCAAAACCAAACCTCAACAACCCTTCCTCAGCCCTCTGGACAAAAATTTTGGGTATCCCGAAACCTCCTCCTAATTTTCCCAAAACAAACCCAATTCCTGCATTATATTCACACCACACATTGCCCTAAAACTGAATCTCCACTGCCTCCAGCCTTCTCCTCGCTGCAAAAAATTCTCACCCATGCTTCACCCCCCTTTAAAAAGGGTGTTGTAAAAACATAATTTCTCCTACATTCCCCTCTTTGCCCCCAAAGGACAAATCCCCCCACTGCCTCCACCTTTCCCCCCTCCTCGCTGCAACTTTCATCCCCCCTTCTTCCCACCCAAAA